GATGATGGCTAGCTAATGCTGTGCCCGAAAATACTGCAGGCGTGGAAGTATGATACGTGCATTAGATGTGCCGGCCAGAACATAGGCGTAGGAACGTTTCAAAAAGTGCGGGGGGGCCAAGCTCGGGGTGTGCTTCAGGAACTTTTTTTGGAAAACAAGCCCGACGACCAGGGAGCAGGGGGGGGGGGGGTAGAGAAGGAGCTTACCTCTCTTTATTCAGATGTAATGACTGCTATTCTATATATGCATCTAGAGCTGTTTCTTATTGATGCACACTCTTGCCTATACGACTCACCTACGTCATTCGGGAAATAAGGCTATCCAGCTTCCCAATTATTTTCTTCTATTTCAACGTTGTCTTTCCTGGGGAGCCAAAATTCCACGAGCGGGTAGGCATTTTGGGTCATTGAGGAGGCATCTGTCTCCACAGGGTAGATGCCAGAGTATGGCCTGAGCAAAGGTTGGTGAGAATTTTGAAAGTGAATCGATGGCTCACAGTACAACATATTGTGCACGTGCCTTCATTTCGCTGGCTGCTTTCCAAGAGATAAGACTTGTCGTGGCATTTTAGGCGGAAACAAATTCGAAAGCTTGAAACTGCTAAAAACCATATGACAAAAGCCATAGAACTGGAGATTCTCTTTTGAACACGGAGCCACAGAATAAACGCCATTCTGTCATATATTCCTTGTCTGAGCCCTGCTCCCGTCCGCTGTCGATGACCACTGTGCCGGTCCAGCTGTCTCCGAATGACTGACCGCGAACTGGTGGTGTGGCTGCTTTGTTGCACATTTCTGGAGCAGCATTACCACTAATCGGAATGTAAAACATGTGTTGGACACCTGCAACAGTACTTTTTTCCGAATGATCTTCCCTTACACCACACCACCCCAGAAAAATGCCGCCGGGAAGCTGCCTACATAAGGTATGAATCGGCCCAACGGACATTTAGCTGTCCGTCATTCAACGTAAATGACTTGATCTGCCTTTGTGTGTAGGTAGGGGGTAGCCAGAGCCTTGCTAAGAGGCACACAGGGTTGACAAAAGCCTCCTTTATGATGCCCCCCCCCCCCCACACAAAAATATATCCCCGCATAAAGTTTACTTGTTAACAGGGGATGCGGTTTTCTTCGTTTCATTGTAATTGTTTATGTTGTAACCAGAACAGAAAACCAGAAGCGACCGTGAAATCAATTCAATTTACATTTTTGACACGCGCCCGGATGGCCGGCTAGATACCCTTTGTACGGGTGGGGAGTCGATTTGACCCCCCTGAAATCTCGGGAACTGAGGGAGTCTGAGACATAAAATTCACAGGGTGTGTTGACCTGTACGTGAACTCACTTAGGTCAAAGTTTGTAGTTCCTAGGTCATGAATTTTAGGCCAAATAAGGTCAAACAGAGTCAAATTCCAGGTTCATCTGTAACGTGCTTCAGGATCTAGATAACTGTTTCTAAGCAAAGGTCAGATGTTCATTAGGTCAATGACCTTGTTTGATCTTTTGAACTCATTGTGATCAGAGTCACACGAGGCTGCTCTAAGGTTTGCGTTTGAATAAGCGACAAAGATTACAGTGTGTTTTTAAACACAAAATGTTGACCTAGGTTATTTTAGGTCAATGACCTATTCTGACCTCCAAATCGATGGGAAGATGTAAATGCGGTTCCTGCTATCAATAACTTAGAAATGAACACTAGAAACTATCCCATACAGCAAGCTCTACAGTAATAGAACAGGATGGTTTTGATCTTGGTGTGACCTTTATACCTGACCTTTGGTCAACGTAATTTTCTCATTCAATATTTGTGTTGCCTAAGAAAGCATCTCAGAGATGTATGACTTCGTCTAACACTCCATTGTTGCATCAGATTGAACGATCCCTAGAAGTTGACTTCACCGAAACCATGGCCTGACTTTGACCTGTCATAGGTCAGTGACCTCACAAAGTAAATATGAATGTTTGATGCCGAATGATCTTATATTCAATTGTCTACAGTTATGCAAAACATGGCTCGGCTGCGCCGCGCCGTTCGGAGACCATTATGGAAAAAGCTGCGGGGGAGGGGGACGAGTCAATTTCACCCCTCACCCGAACGCGTTTTAAGGTCAATAAACTGCAGAAATCAGGCGTTTAACGATCGCATGGAATCATCACCGGTGTTCTTAATTTCCCATGGCTTAGTGGACTCTTTCTAAACCGATAGAATTCAGAAGCTTTTTCACAATGCTTTATCTGCGTTCTACAAACATTGAGGACATAGCGAAAAAAGATTGTAGATCGATCTGTGTGATCGAAATGTGAGGGTGAAAATTTTGATTGGGGATAGAGTAGTCAACAATTGTACTAACATCACCAAGCCATGTTTTTCTAGAAATGTTTAACATTCACTCAGAATCGATTAGTAATGCAATTTATATAACATGGTTTTTAACATGCGCGCTCGCAAATCTTAGTAACAGAAACCTCGACGCCATACGTTGCAGTCTCCAAAGTCCGTGGACCAGGACATCAAATCTTACATCTACAAGGCAGTCTGGGCGCATATTTCACATGTACGATTTTTAGACTGATGATAAGAACAGATCGGCCCTTAAAGCACCGCGAGGTGGTGCTAGAATATGGTGGTGGAACTGGAAGAGTTAAGGTAAATACTCTATTTTTCGTGTTTTTGTAACTGCGAATCTGTCTAGAAGACAGATTAACACGGCGCCCGCCGTCTGGCGGCACTTCCAGTGGCCGACGCCGTTCGGTTTTACGGAAGCTGCAACCCAGGGTATCGCTGTCCTTGCTCTCGAGGTTGCAGACAGGCATGTTCAAGCCTTCTGATGCACTTTCTCATTAATCCATTCTGAAGAAAATGAACGTTCTTAGGCAAACATGCGATGGCCTTGTTCGTTAAAAAAATTGTTTCGACCTACTCTGTTCAATAATAATGAGACATCCACTGTAGTCAACAATAAATCGCGAAGCGTCTTCTGGCTGTCATTCCGGCGACACGGGGCGGGATCTCCTGGTCGATCCGGAAACCATTGGAGGGATATATCATATCACATTGCTCCCTTCCCTGACACGGAAGGCCTTCTGACCCGCGCAGTTAGCCCCGGATCAGCACAGGAGCCCTCATCTACGCAACAACATCCCCGATCGCCAAAGGTGGTCCAATAATTGTCACACAGGCTCCAGTTCCGTGCTTCTCTGTTTTCGTCAGAAGTATTGAGAAATCCTTGAACGTACATTGTAGATGAGATGGAGTCCTAAGCTTGTATTGACATGGCTAATCCATGTTCGTCTTAAAATGTTCAAGGTTCGGTCAGAACTGATTACTGATAAGCTATGTAATATGGTTTTGAACATACGCGCTCGCAAGTCATAGCAACAACAGGCTGAACGCCCGGCGTTGCAGTCTCCATGGCCCGCGTGGCGTCGGCCTGTGGCTGTGACATAAGCGATAGCCAATAGGCAAAAGAAAAAGATGATGCATCTTGAGGAAGATGGTTTGTGTACTAGGTAAATCTGCATATATATTTAAACGTGGTGCAAAAGTAAGCTAAACACAACGTTAATCTGAAAAGCGAGAGCGGGGATAGGGCAGCTAACACTGCTGCCCGCCCCCCCCCCCTGAAAAGTGGGGGGCCAAGGCCCCCCTGCCCCTCCCCCCCCCCCCCTGTTCCTTCCCCTACGGGCCAGAACATGCATTCTTTTTTCCAACTTGGGATCGTGACCATTTGCATGAGCATCATTGGTGGTCAGAGTGCAATGGCTGGTAACTTAGGCTGATAATCCTAACGCAACTGAGTTAGTATGAACCTGACCTTGCTGCAGGTAAACAGACACGACGTCGGCACCAGTTTTGAGTATCGCCCATTACAAAAGGCTAATGGCACCCTTGAGCTCCCTTTTAAAAGCTGTCTTTCCTCGCCCATCACAGTCGCAGCCCGCACAGAGGCCTGACTAATGCCTAACTAAAAAGCCGCAGGTCGAGATACGACCAAACCGCTTCGCTTCGAACCCAGAGCGGGGTGAGGGGTGGGGGGGGGGGGGGCTATCTGCCCCATGCGGAAGGCAGCGGTGTGCCTGTGCCAAGAGGGAAAAGCTATTGCCGCTATCGCACCCGCAGCCGCTGGAGAGAGGGCAGCGCCTCCACATAGTGTGGCCGCACCGAAGACAGGTACCACGGCCTGGCGCCGCACGACTGCGGTGTAGGCTGACGCGGCAGAGGCCTGAACCGTGCGTTCGCGTGTCCTCGTGTTTTTCTGATCGTTGCCTTGGACTAAACGTGCTGCTCCTCCTCATTCAGAGAGGAGCACGCAGCCGAGATACATCACGCGTGGCGCGAGTAGCATGGCTCATACCATCAGCGACCTGTCAGCCACCGCTCATCATGACGAGGCGCCTTGCCAGTGGTCCTTTGGAGCATTGTGCTCCCGTCGCTGCGCGCGCCAAGTGTGCCGATCCCCGCCGCTGCTCACACGAGGCACGAGATTCTTTGCCACCGCTTGTGGGCAAGTCGATCGCTTCGGAACATGTCGCGATAAGTAGAGAACTCCTCGTCACTTGTCGGCAAACAGCTGCCTTGAGCAGTCGCCCCGCCAGCGCTGCCCGCTGGACGCCCCGACGCGCGCCTGGCTTGGCAGGCTGTGCTGCGGGCTCTGGCGGCATTGCGGTACGGTCTATCATGCGTTACACTGAAATCGTCTGACGTCACATACGCGCGTGACGCGTTGTGATGTTGAATGTGCCGGCGCTTGTTTCGTTACGCATGTTGGAGGTGGCCTTATCGTACAGTACATCGCCGCATATTGCCGATTCTCTCTCCTGGTTGAATGAAGGAAGTCTTTAGCTGTACCTGCTGAATTCTAGCCCCATCCTTTGTTCTCATATGCTTTATAAGCATGCTGTGACCTATACCTCATTACATTTAGACAATGGAATGGAGAGTGGCAGTTGTATAATTTTTGAGCGTCATGAACTGACACCGCCCCTTTTGTTTCAGAATCTGAAGAGCCAAATCATGACAACAAATTTATGGGTGAAACATGTAAGTGTCACTGCTACTATGCGTCGTTTCTTCTGGGCACCTGGCTTGTTTGTCATGTGCATAGATTATTAAGGCCACGGTAACAAATCGAATTGTTTATACACCTGCAAAGGAAAACGGCAAAGGAAAGTACAGTCGCTTCTTGATATGCGGTGACGTATCTTGGTGGGAAGAGGGGGGGGGGGGGGGGGCGGCAGTGTATATGTTACCTCAACGACTTGTAGACAGGTGAGCGAGCATTCTTTCATATTCGGCCTGTCATGGCTATATGAATCTGAGGGACCAGATCGTGGAGCCATTGGTAACACGCGTTTCTTAAATGCTCGATATGCTAACCATGTATACAAGCTTGGAAAGAATAAGTTTGAAAAGTTTGTTTGCGCACCCATCGATGTGACGTTCCTACGGTCCTGCAGGGTTTGGGAGCCTTGCTTCGTTACGCCTCAGCTTGAGTTTTGTCAAGGGCGCAATCAATCTTATCTGGAAGGGGTTGGGGCGAGGTTTGGTGGGAACGTATCAAAGCTTTTTTTAACTTTCGGTCGGGAGTCGCCTACAGTGAAAAATGCAGGTCGAAGCTTCGCCCTTAGGCTGGCTGCGCCTTAATGTGGGCTGAGTCAGAAATTCTGGCGCTGCGAGCGGCTCCGGTACGCTAAGCTCACTGAAGAATGCTGTTTGTGAAAGAAGAAACGTAAGCTTTTAGCGACGCATTCACTGAATGCCGCCCGAAATCAACCAATGGCTGAGACTGAATGCGTGTGAAACTGTTTTCAAAGCCACTCGGGATATCTGATCCTTCAGTTTTCCAATTGATGTAGTTGGTGAGCTTGAAGTGCATAGCAGACTGAAAAAGAAGCATTGCATGATACAAACAAGTAATTTCTCAAAGGTCTCCTGGTTCCTCGAGACCCTGAGAACGACAGCTGCCAGTATAAGATCTCTGAAATAATAAAAGCAAACATTATTTACTTCGGGCGTAAAACGGCTCCTCAAACGCTCTGTACTTGGTCTGACACGTCAAAACGGCTCCTCAGACGCTCCGTACTTGGTCTGACACGTCAAAATGGCTCCTCAAACGCTCTGTAGTTGGTCACGATACTCGGTCTGACCACGTGATGGCCCTTTTTTTAGTTGTGAGACACAACTGCAGAAGTCAACTCTGCAGAGCACTTGCCGCACGTTTCGACAGTGTCTGTGTGTATGCTGACGTGGGCTGGAGTGAGGCCTCTCTCGTGTCCTCCAGACTTGGTACGACTACAAACTGACGTGCTTGTATGCTGACGGGAGCGGGGGTGAGGCCTCTTTCGTGTCATCCAGGCCTGGTATGACTTCGGGCTAACGTGTTTGTATGCTGACGGGAGCGGAGGTGAGGCCTCTCTCGTTTCCTCCAGGCTTGGTACGACTACAAACTGACGTGTTTGTATGCTGACGGGAGCGGGGGTGAGGCCTCTCTCGTGTCCTCCAGGCTTGGTACGACTACAAGCTGACGTGGTCGCCGGACCTGTACGGTGGAGTGGAGATGCTGCACGTGCCGTCCGACCACATCTGGAGACCTGACATCGTGCTCTACAACAAGTACGTCTCCTGGGTCTTAGCCTGCGTCGTTCTCCCTTGTACTGTATTGTTGCAGGGTTACGATACCGATGAATGATCGCAAGCACGTCACCGAGAAGCTGTCAACAACATCCAGGCTTGAAGCGTGTTTTGAAACCCATTCAGTGTTCCTTTGCAAGAGATGATCCAGCATTGGGCGATATTTCATATGAGATTCGCGTATGCACTGCAAGCTAGCTTATCGTGATAGTCTCCTATACCAGCTGGCAATGTCTTGGTGGCCGAAAATCTCGGCACGGCTAGGGCTTTGCGATATTCGAGGCCTTTATACTAACCGTATCCAAACGGATGTTTTCACCAACGTGACAGTTCCAATAGCTGCCCCCTCATCTATTCTGGCTCGACTAAGCTTAAATGCCTTACATTATGTAAATCGCGGCTGAGTTATTAGTCAAATAGCTCCGTCAGGTCGGATATTTGGCCTTCTGGTACCCATCTGCTGAAGCCTAGTAGTTTCGGGCCGTGTCCAAATGGTAGTCAGGGGCCAAAGGCTATGTTCTCTCGAGCGGACACGGAGGGCATAAACAGTGCTTGTTTCGCAGTGAGTCGCTGAAAATATACTGTGCCCATGTTGGTCACGCACATGTTCTGTAGATTACCACAAATATATGGAGCAGTTTGTTTGGCGGCAGAGTAGTGGCGCTAAAACCTTATAGGAGTGAGTAATGTCATTGTAGAAAAGCAACTAGTTTCCGGGGTGACGAAACTGCAGCGGTTAAGTGGCGCGTCTGGTAAACCAGGGGTGCGGAGTTCAAATCTCCGCGGTGCCCAATCTTCCTGCCAGGGTGGGAGGTGGATGACGCCATGTAACCTTAATTACTGAGAGCGTCGTAACACCTCAATGATGATAGCTAGTTTTCTGCTCTTCGTTTGCTCACCACTTGCTCAAAAGGCTCCACCAACAGCAAACAGTCGCATAGATCTGCAGGCATTTTTCGACCACAGGTAGGCACGTCCTAAAGTGGAATTTTATGCTTTTTTCAGACATGCTAACATACATGGACCCTCGCCATAAGTAAACCTGCAGGGCTGTTTTGTCCTACCTTTGTCTCCTCTTCTGACATTTCCAACGCATTAGCATGTTGGAGATGCTAAGCTGTATTTTGATCCATGCTGGATCTTTCAACAAAACGCAAGGCTGGACCTTGGTTTATGTTGGTTTTCTTGGCTTGGTATCGGATGAGATCTCGTTTCTGCCGGATCTGTTGCCTTATTGTCAAGCTTTCTTGGTTCTGGCTGAATTTTTCTACTTATGACGAGGCTGGAGCATGGATCTTAGTAAATCTTTCGGCTTAATGGGACTGAATACTGGTTCCTGCCTTTTCCCCTTTGCCCGATTCCAGACTAGTTCCAGGTTCCAAAACCAGGAACCGGTTTTGGGGAAGAAGTATTGGAACCAGGCACATGTTCGTCTAACCTAATTAACCTAGCCAAACCTAACCTAGCGTTGCCTAACCCAACATAGGCTTACATGACCTAACCTAACCTAACTTAACTCAATCTAATCTAACCGAAGTCAAAAGGGTTGTCCAGGCGAGCGTTGACAGTTCATAGTGATTAAAACGGTGGCAAATTCTTGCGCGCAAAAGTGGCTTCATAAATTTCACTATGTGTGCAGAAGTGCGGTACTGTGTAAATCGATTCAGATCTGATGCAATGCACTTAGGAAAGCCGTTTTTAGTAAATCGTATAATGAGTCTATGCCCACGCTTTCTGGAAAAATATCAAAGACTGCATTCTAGCAGATTTTGTCTTTGACACCATTCCAGAAAATGTTACATTACCGAATTGACTTATTTGATAATGCAACATGTAGTTCACAGCCTGGATAGAACGTTTCATGAAACAAAACACACTAACGTTTTAGTCAGCTTGCAAATGGGGCACAAATGGTGAACACTCAGTATTTTCAGTCAATTCAGACAAAGAAGCACCGAAAACATAATTTTAAATGTGCTTGTGATGAACGCTCAAACTTCGGCACAAGCTGAGGAAAACAACACTAAGGTTTGATATGATATAATCAATAGTCAAAAACCACAATGCGTGGGATGCAATGTCAACACCCCCTTGAAGCCTTCTGGCCCGAAAGTAGAGCCGTCTCAGGTAAGTTGTTTGGCTGCAATGTTTTGTTAAAGACGATCGCACCAAAATCTACGTAAAGCTTACATTTCACATAATTCACTATTGTGATTGCTTAAGAATAGTTAGCGAGTCATATTTAATTATCGTCAGGTTTGCTCGCTGGCCCCTCCTCGGCGTAGGAGGGGGAGGGGAGGTGACTCCCCTGGTGACCCGATGTGTTGGAGCAAGTTCGAAACAACCAGGCGGTAACCATGCATCCTGTTATCAACTTTTAGAAGGCCCTTTTTGCAGCATCTCTATCCGTTGGCTTGCCATGTTATTTCAGATGAGACATTACTACTTTTTTACGTTATTTTACCTTCCTTACTCAGCTTTGTACAAGCTTAGCAAAGACGTCAACTTGTTAAAATACAACAGGGTAAAACTGGTTAAGATCAAATAGTCCATTTCATTTATGTTTGAGGGCTTATTTGCGCTATTCAGTGTCTCGCATAATCTTGTCCTTCAATCACCTTGCACTTGTAATCCTTGCGCACAAGATCGCCGTTGGTGCGTTGTGAAATGCCTATTTACAGCACTCTGGGGTGTTTCAAAGGGTAACCTGACGTTGGTCTGACCTTCCACTGGCTCTTGCAATGTTAGTATAACACTTCGATCAGTTAAGATTGCATAACACGCGCTCGGGTGGGGGTGGGGGTCAAGTTGACCCCCCAAAGGTTTTTCCAGAATGGTTTCGGAATAGCGTGGCGCACCCGCTCCAAATTTTGCATAGCTATAGAAAATTGAAGAAAAAATCGTTTGGCATAAACGATTGAATTTACCTTGTAAGGTCGCTGACCTATGGCAGGTCAAAATCAGACCACGGTTTCAGCGAAGGCAATTTCTAGGGAACCCCTCAATCTGATTCAACAACGAAGTGTTAGACGAAAGCAATACATCTCTGAGATGCTTTCTTAGGCAACTCAACAGTTGAATGAGCAAATAACATTACCCTAAGGTCGGGTATGAAGGTCACACCAAGGTCAAAACCAATCTGTTTTGTTACTCTAGGGCTTGCTGTATGGGATAGTTTCTGGTGCTCATTTCAATTTTATTGATAGCAATAACCGCATTATATATTTCCATGGACTTCTTGGAGGGTCAGGATAGGACAATGATCTAAAATGACCCAGGTCAACATTTTGCTTAGCAGCATATTGCCTAGCGTAATCTTTGTTGCTTAGTCAAATGCAAAACTCAAAGCAGTCTTGTATGATTTTGGTCACCTTGACCTTCAAAATGTCAAAACAAGGTCACTGACCTTGAATGATTGTTTGATATTTTGTTTCGAAACGGTTGTCTAGGTTTTGGGGCACTTTGGACAACAACACGGAACTTGACCCTGTCTGACCTTGTTTGAACCGAAAGTCATGGCCTAGAAACCTGAACCTTTGACCTAATTGATTTCACGTTCAGGTCAACACACCCTGTAAATTTGGTACCTCTATCTTTTTAACTTTTTTGAGATCTCAAGGGGGTGAAACTGACCTCCTCCCGAGCGAAGGGTATCTAGGCGGCCACATGGACGCGTGTTTACGATTGAGTCTGATGCAATATGAAGTAAATCGATGATTACAGTCTGCCTGAAAGAGAGTGCTGCACATTGGCATGGGGCTTTAAGCTGACGTACCTATCTTGAATTATCATTCGTACCTATTAAGCTGACGTACCTATCATTCAGCGCAGTTAACAGCCCTACCCTTTCTTAAAACCTAAACTCTTCTATTTGCTGAGCAACACGCCTGCAGGTATGTACAGCTATTTCCTTGAGACTTTTTTAAGGCCACCCAGACATCCATGACGCTTTAATAACGCCATTCAAACCCTACCATTAGATTCGCCATATGGCGATCAAGGCCAAGCAAGCAATAATTGTCGAGTCATTCATATCTATCGTCCGTGAGCGTAATTTTCAAATATGACGGCCATCAATCGACCGCCAATGAATGTTGTGCAAGGTAAGATCACGTAATCAAACGATGACAAATCGGTAAGCATATTTGCCTAACAAATAATTCACCTGTCTAGAGCATCTCTTTCCATCCAAACGTATACCAATAGTTATATAAGTGAGCTTATTTCATGATACTTGATGCTTGCTTTAATATATTCGGGTGTGGCACATTCCCCTTAAAGTGATCTGCATAGTTGAGTGTCACGTGCTACGATGTGTTTAAAATATACGTTTAAAATAACTTTCATGTTAAGCCTGACTTGACTTTGCCCTAGAATGTTCCTAAGAGAGATCACAAGCTTTGGTGATGGTCATGATATGACATCGTTACACTTTCAGAACCCCTCTCCAAAAAGGTCCATTGCACACACGTTACATGAACGCGTCACAAAGCGCCGAGTTCGATTCTCTCATTGCACCGACCTTTGAGAATGGGGTCATATATCGATGACGTGATTTGATAGATAACTAAAATATGCAGGTTGGGCCCCCCCCAAAAAAAAATTATACCAATCAGCCGAAGTTTCGTTATAATGGTTTGCTCGGTCTGAGAGATGCTTCTGAAGCCAGAGAGCGTGACACCAACGATTTGAATGATACGGAAAAGGATCGAAACGTCCCTCAGTAGACGTCTAACCTCGCAACTTTCATTGTCAACCCAGTCTCTGAGGCCTACATTCTTTACCGAACGTGGAAATGGTTTTACAATTGAAATACAAGCCTAACAGTAATAAGGCGGTTTCAACAGCACGGCTCAACGTGGTCCGCCATCATTTCCCTTCACTTCATTTCCTCTCGAATCGGCTCCTCCGCGGCCAAAGCTGGAATGAGAGGCACTGGGTCTGCCGACCGGAGACTAGGCAGCGGGAAGAAGCTAATGACC